GACATGGCGGGGAGCTTGCCCTGAGGGACTGAGACAGGGGGTCTCAACCTTGGGAGGAGCCTGGCCATGAGGGGGTCTTGGCCCTGGAGGGATCTTGGTCCTGGGGGCTGGTGCTGGGGTTGGGTCAGGGGGTCTCAGCCTGGAGGGGTCTGGACGTGGGGGGCTATCGCCCCTGCGGGCCTTGGGCTCACTCAGGGGCTCTTGACTTGTGAACTGGCCCTGAGGGTTGTCCAGCTCTGGGGGTGTTGGCATGAAAAGGGTCTGATCTTAGTGGTGTCTTGGCCCAGAAATGGTGTTAAGCCCTGGGACTCTGCCTTGAGGGGGTCTTAGCCTGGCTGAGACAGGATCTGGAGGGACCTTGGCTCAGGAGGGTCACGGTCCTGGCCCCTGGAGGAGTTCCCAGGGGACATGAGGAGGGATTGACCATGGAGGGTCCTGGCTGGGGAAACCTGGCCCTGGGGACCTGTTGGGGGGGTCTAGGTCCAGCCCTGATCCTTCTCTGGAGGGTGTTTGGCTCCAGGGGAGGAGCTGACAGGGCCCCCCAGGCCCCGAAGGATCACTGCACACTGCAGGGGCTCTCCTGGGAAACACAGCAGCTGCCTTTGGAGGACAGGAGTGCCAGGACATCAGCCAAGGTCGCTGGGACAGCGCTGTGTGAGCTGTAGGAGTGGGTGGGGTGGAAGGCCCAGCGTGCCATTCCCAGGGATGGGGCCTGAGCCGGGTGACTCCTGCACAGGGTCTGGGCATGGGCACCATGGCAGGGGTTTGTTGTTTTTTTGGGGACTTTTGGCTTCACACCCAAAGATCAAGCTGGGATGGTTCCTGCTGGCCCCAGCACATTTCCAGCTTGTTGGAAATGTGGGATGCTGGATGACATGATTCGTGCTGGTGAAATAAACACTTTTTAAGAGAATTTGTGTCTGGTGATTAGTGAGATCTGTCCATGCCACGTATTGGGAAGCTGCTGATCCCTACAAGAGGTCTCTGGGATCCATTTCACCAAGCAGAGCTCTTGTTGGCATTTTAATCCCTTCATCCCTTCTCGGCCTTACCTGTGATGGGAGGCACTGGCAAAGGTTGAAAGGGTTCTTTTTTCACTGAGCAGACCTCTGCTTCCGTGAAAAATGCCATATGGAGCCTGCGGCCTCACATGATCCTTGGCTGGGCAACCAACTGGCAAGGAGAGAGTGTCCCTCTCCATAAATGCAGGTGCAGCTCCTTCCCTTTCCAGAGTCCCTGGACAACATCAAAGGTAGGTCCTGCTCCCCTCTCTTCCCACACCCCCCAGGAGTTCCCCTTGACAGTGTCACCTCCTCCAGCTCAATTTTACCACAAAGCTCTGCTGGGCCAAATCTGGGTGCAGCTCAGGGATGAATATGCCCCTTGTAGGTGCACCTGCCTGGGAGATTCAGAGGCTGCTGTACTCTCCAGGAGTGGGGAGGATTTATGGGGCTTTGGGCAATTTTTGGCATGACCAAATCATGGCACTATCAACTGAAGGGACTGTGGTCTTAGGGGGAAGAGTTCACAGCAAAAGTGCAAGTGGGAAAAGTGAGGATTTAACTAGAGCAGCTGCCCCAGAAGGAAAAGTGAGCCTGGGGTCAGCAAATCGTTCCTGAGGCTGAGATTTTGTGTGCCAAAAGCTGGAGCATTTGCCCGTCCTCTCAGCCCGTTTATCAGGCTCTGGGTGCGTTCAGGAACCCAGGCTCGGGCAGTGCTCAGGGCTCAGATCCCACATGCTGGTGAAATATTACCCCAGGGAGCTGAGTGCCATGGGAAATACTTCCCAAACGCTCTCCCCTGTGGATGGGAGCTGCAGCACTGCCTTTGCACAGGGTCCTGAGGGAGCCATCCTGGGTGAGGATGGGGCAAGGGCACTGCTGGGGGATGGGGAACAGGGGAGGGGAAAGTTACCCCAGGTGAGGATGCTGCAGGCAGTGAGGAAGGTGGGGAGGGGTGTCAGGGAGGATCCATCCCTTGCTCTGTCCCAGCACAGCTGCTGTAGGGTCTTTGGGGTCTCTGTCACTGATCCAGGGAAAGGCAGGAGAGGCACAAGCCAAGGGATTTTGGGGTCCCTGATCACTGCCACCAATCCAAGGCCAGAAGAGGTGTCTGGGCTGAGCTGTTCCTCATGGAGAATGAGGAAGTGACTGCTCTGTGTCACCATGAAATGGCATTTACTTGTTTGCCAGTAAATTTTCCACTCCAGCCTTGTGAGTGATCTGGCCTCCTTCCAGGAAGAACAGGTAGGATGAGGCCCCATGCAACAGAGGTGTAAAATTCCTGCATCCTGGTGGTTCACCAGAAAACAGACACCTCCCAGTGAAACCAGTATGGCCAGTGCGAATACCCTGGTTATCCCTGTTGTCTGTCCCAAATCCCTCTCCCAGCCAGGAGGGCTGAGCCCCTCCTGCACCTCTACACAGGATGGCAGGCTCGAGGCTGGTGTTGTCGCTGCTGGTTGCAGCTCTCCTGCTGCATGTGGCCACCACGCTGAAGGTCGGCGCCTTCAACATCAAAGCGTTTGGGGACACCAAGATGTCCAACCAGACCATCGCAAATATCATCGTGTCTGTGAGTCGGGGGGACAGGAGCAGGCCTGGATGTGCTCTGTTCTTTGGGATGCAGTCAGCTTGGGCAGCGGGACATCTGCTTCATCCATCCATCCATCCATCCATCCATCCATCCATCCATCCATCCATGCATCTGCTCTTATCCCATCAAAATCTCCCACCTCAGGCCATCTCCAGCCCTGCTGGTCCCCCGTCAAGGCTGGGTGACGTTTGATGCTGCCCAGGTTCCTCCCTTGGAGCAGCTGCTGGATAGGTGGGTGGTGGACAGACAGGGCCCTTCCAAGCCAGAGCACACCAACACAGGAATCCCCCCCTGGCCCTGAGGTCCCTGCTGCCCTCCCATTGCCAGCCTGGGAGCCTTTGCAGCCCAGACCAGGCAACCATGGGTGCTCCCCAGAGCAGCTCCTGGCCAGGGGAGAACAGCTCTGAGCTTGTCCCCCCAGATCCTGTCAGAGTACGACATCATTCTGGTGCAGGAGGTCCGGGATGCCGACCTGAGTGCTGTGAATGACCTCATGGACCAGCTCAACAGGTGACCTCAATGGCTTGGTGTGGGAGTGACTGCAAAGGGGATCCTGGATGGATTCCAGCCATGCCAGGGCACCTCTGGCTCAGCTGAAGAGAGCCTGATGGATGCTGGGAAGCACCAGGAACCTCCTCTCACCCTCTCCACAACTTGCTTCCAGTTTTGGGAGGCACCCATACAACTTTTTGGTCAGCATCCCTCTGGGTCGGACCAGCTACAAGGAGCAGTACCTCTTCATCTACAGGTAAGGGATGCTGCCAGGGGTCACCTGCTGCCCTCCCCAGAAGTCCCCAAAAGGGATGGGTACCTCTGGGGGCTGCCCTGGTCTCCTCCCTCAGGTCAGACATGGTCTCCGTGCTGGATAGCTACTATTATGATGATGGCTGCGAGTCCTGTGGGACCGATACCTTCAGCAGGGAGCCCTTCATTGTGAAGTTCTCCTCACCCACCACACGTGAGCAGAGCTGGTCTTGGGGGATGCCCAGACCTGGCACAGGGTCCCCTCCACGCAGGGCTGAGCCCAGATCTGCACCTGCCAAGCATAGAGGGGTTGCAAGCCTCCACCAGGGTCCCACCCATGGGTGCCTAGGGGTCCTATGTCCCTGCCCAGCAAGGCCAGCAATGCCTGCTGTTTCTCATCGTGTGCCATCTCCTACCAATCACCTTCCATCTCCCACCATGAGCTCTCTCCAGCTGTGTGCTTTCTCACACCTCCAGCTGCTTCCCATTGTGTCCTACATCCTATTATGTGCTACCTCCCATCTTGTGCCATATCCCACCATCTGCTTCCTCTTGCTGGGTGCCATCTCCCATCATGTCCCACCTCCTATCACCTGTCATCTCCATCCCTTCTATCTCCCATTATCCCACTTAGTTCCACCGCCTATCCTGTGCCATCACCTCCACCTCCTGAGAACCTCCTCAGGGTACACACACTGTCCCATCTCCTGCCCAAAACCATATTGGCTTGGAAATGCTAATGGGAAACAAGCAGCAAACCCCAAACAATGCACAAAGGCATGCAGCTCCCCACTGGAATTTCCAGTCTGAGGGACAGGCAGAGCACCAAACTCAACACACCCTTTCCCTTTCCTGGCCAGTAGCTGGGGCTTGGCCTGTGGTGGTTTCCAGGGGTTCCCGTTCCCTGCTCAGGGGTTGCACCCAAGCCAGGGGCTGATGGTCAGCTGTCTGGCAGAGGTACAGGAGTTTGTGTTGGTGCCTCTGCATTCCGAGCCCAGCCATGCAGCACAGGAGATCGATGCACTCTACGATGTCTACACCGATGTCATCGACAAGTGGGGGACTAACGTAAGCAGCATTGGGGAGCTTGGCTCCTCCCCAGGGCAGCCAGGTGGGCAGGTGGGATGAACATGTCCCATGAAAGGCCTCTTGTACCCATCAGAGCAGGTGCCAGCCCAGCAGTCTCCAGGCAGGGAGCTGCTGGATGGCCCTCCTGCCATTGCTGGGGGCTTGTCCCTGCACACTGGGGCACCTCAGTGGGGTTTGTAGCCAACTCTTAAGATTTTAGGGAGCCCTTGCTGCCCTGTAAGGTGTGTGGTCAGGGACTCAGTGCTCTGCCCTGCAGGATATAATCTTCCTGGGTGATTTCAACGCTGACTGCTCCTACGTGACCAGCTCCCAGTGGCCGTCCATCCGCCTGCGTTCCCTCCGTGCCTGCGAGTGGCTCATCCCCGACAGCGCCGACACCACCGTGGCCGACACCACCGACTGTGCCTACGACCGGTGGGTGCCATGGCAGGGGCTGGTAAGGGGAGGACTGATGGGCACTAACACCCCTGTGATGCCTCGGCAGCATTGTCGCCTGCGGTACTGCCCTGCGCCAAGACATTGAACCCGGCTCTGCCACCGTCAACAACTTTGACAAGAAATTCCACCTCCAGATCAAGGATGTGAGTGAGGGGCTGGGTGGGGCACGAGTCCACCAGCATTGGAATCTGCCCCACCATAGCTCCTGGGAGCCTGGGAGGGCTCCCTGTTCCCAAGGGTGCACCTGAGGGTGGCCTGACCCCAGCTGTTGTACCAGATCAACAATCCAGATAGAGCATTTTAGGATATGGTCTAAATTTTGGGGGTTGGAGTGGAACACTGGGGTCCCAGCCAGCCATGACAGCAGCAGTGGGTCCAGATGAGCTCAGGGTTTATGAATCGGCTCTGGTCAGGGTGACTCTGCTCTCCCTCTTGTGCAGGCTTTGGCTGTCAGCGACCATTTCCCAGTGGAGGTGACCCTGAAAGCCCGCTGAGCCTGTCCCCACACCAGCGGCTACCAGGACAGCTCAGCACACACCTGCATCCCTCATGGGAGCCCACGCACCACTGGTGCCAGCCAGGCTGCCCACTGTCTCTGCAAGGAGTCCTTGAGCTCTTGTGGAAGTGTAATGCTTTCTGCTTCCATTAAAAATGAGCCTTTTCCTGCCTCTGCAGCTCTGGAAGGGAGGTCTCTTCAGTCTCCCCAGCAGCCCCTGGTGCCCCAGCCCCTCAGCCAGAGAGGTCCCCAGGGCTGGGGCACCTCCTGCCATTAAGAGACCTGGACCGATTGGGTGGTGAGAGCTGCTTCCTTCTCAGTGGATGGTGGCAAAAGGCAGGACTCTGGGAAGGGGCTGGGGGGCTCCAGGATTTCCAGGCTGCAGGATGCTCTTCTGCCAGCTCACAGGGCCACATCCTGACAGAGCCTGCCTGGCCATGGGGCTGCTGACAGGGTGCTGACAGCAAGGGTGCAGGGAGGATGTGAGTCAGTTCCCGGGGGGTTTGGTGCTTCCCAGGGGGTTTCGGTACCGACATGACACCAAGGGACACGGGACTCATCCCGAGACTGGGTGTGAGGATACAAAACCTGGTGGCGCACATGAGAACCCGGCAAGTCCTGGCACGAGCAGCCATCAGAGCCACCTGCTTTGTTGTCATCCTGGGGTGATGCCATGGGCCATGGTGATGCCATGGACTGCCATGGGGAATGTCAGCCCTCCTGGGGCTACTTTGGATCCCCAGTGGGGCTGTTCTGGGTGACACTGGGGCTGCTGCAGGGGTTCACAGCCATCCCCTCTTGCCGTGGCTGGTAGTGCTCACCTGCCTGACCCAGCCACCGACCATTTCCGTCTCTTCCCTCTAATTACACCATCTGAATCACTCAATTAAGGCCAGCACCCTTCACCTCCTGCCTGGCCACCGTGCCCACTCTGTGATCCAGATGCCACCCCAGATGGCAGCCCCCTAAGTCCCACACCCCCATCCAGTCCCACAGGGATGCCCCAGCATTTCCAAGTCTCCCTGTCTTTCCTTTGCTGTGTCAGCACAGGGATGGCTGGGCTGGCCCCACCCTGTCGCCCTGTGGGATTTTTGGTTTCCCAATGTGGGAAGGAGCACAAAGTTATGCCAAAACCCCCACGGGGGTGTCCGACTCATCCTGCTTTGCCGGCACCTCCGCTGGGATAAAGCCGCCCATCCTGCTGCCGGGAGGGCAGAGGTGCTGCGCATTCAGCAGGGCAAGGACGGATCCGGGCTCAGAGCCTTCAACTGCCAACCAGGTGGGACTGGGATGTACTAGGATGAGTTGGGATGAGGAGTCGCTCCTCACCCCAGCAGTGGGGGCTGTGGTGAAGTTTAAGGATGTGGAACAGCCTGGGGTGGCTGGAATGCTGGCCGTGGTGGATGGGGCTGGAGGGCAGTGAAGACATCCTGCTGGGGGAGTGGAGCTGGGTGATCCCTGGAGCTGGAAGAGGCAGACTCACACCGGTGGGACAGGATTTATCTTCTTCTGGGACTGCTGAGCTGGCAGACTGCCCACACCAGCTCCGCAGCCTGCTCTGGGCAATGCCCACCATGACACACTGTCACACACCAGGGCTTTGGAAGGATCTACATGTTTTTTCCTCTACCCCAAATCCAAAATAGCGTTCCGAGTTCATCTCCCATCCCTGCATCCTTGTGACCCAGCATCAATCCTGGAAGAATGGGGACTGTGACACTGGAATTGTCCCTGCTGGCTGTGGCTCTCCTGTGCCCAGCCACTGCCATGCTCCGCATCGGTGCCTTCAACATCCAGGCCTTCGGTGACACCAAGATGTCCAACAAGGAAGTGGCAGAGATCATCATCAACGTGAGTGCAGCCAGTGCTCCGTGGGGATGGGCTGTGTGCTGGGACAGACCCCCAGCACGGCTCCTGTGCCAGAGACATGTGGGGAGGTGGCTGAAGATGGGTGGCTGGGCAGATGAAGGCTTGGTGGTGTGTCAGGCACAGCCCACAGTCCCTCTGAGCCCTCCCTGGGGACATCTGCTCTGGCACCAAGGAACACGCAAGTCCCCAGGGTACTGAAGCCAGAACCAGGTGCCTGGCTGGGAGATGGGTGGGAGACTGTCCCTGAGCTGTCCCTCTTGGCCTCACAGGTCCTGCGTCGCTACGATGTGGTGCTGGTGCAGGAGGTGCGTGACTCCGACCTCAGCGCCGTCACCGAGCTCATGGAGCAGCTCAACAGGTACAAGACGGGCTGGGACTGGGATGGCAGTAAGAGGCAAAAAAAAGTTGTCCACCAACAGAGAGCTTATTTTTGGAAAGATGAATAGGAGAAATGTGCTGGGGCAGGGTGGAGACACTGAAAACAACCCTGGGAATAACCCAGTGAAGGGAATGGGGATACAAGTGATACAAATCCCCTCTGAAAGCTGTCGGCTCACCAGAGCTTGCAGATGGAAAGGAACTACAGTTCTGGCAAGCTCTGTCTCCAAAATCCAACAGGACAGGGCAGAAGCAAGAGAGGGGGAGGATGGGACAGACAGACCTTGCACCCCAAGACCCTGTGAGTGGCAGGGGGACCCCAGGATGGACCCAGCAGTGGATGATGCTTTGAGGGGGGGTCGTTCTGGCACCCTAGGAGGAAAAGGGGCTGCTGGGGTGGGCTAAAACTTGCCCCAGCAGGGTGGCAGCTCCTCCACCAGCTGGGTGCTGACCCCGTTTTGAGAGAGGGCACGGGGAAGCTGCTGCTGCCATGTCAAAAGGCAGCTAGTGCTCTCAGGAGGTGATGTGCACCCAGCCCATGTCCTCGCCCCTTCCGTGTCCCCTCCAGCAGGCCACAAAGCAGCCAGGGCAGGGAGGGTGACGCTGCGTGCTGCAGAGCCCCAGGCTGCTCACTGACCTAATTTAGCTCTGCTGCAAATGAAGGTGAGGAATGTCCCTGCAGAGAAAGGGTGGCAGGAGCTTCCCAGTGCCATGCTGTACCCAAGGAACCACCTGGGCGAGAGGCATTGGGAGCTTCAGAGTCACCCTCATGTCACCCCACAACCAGGGCCCAGTGACCCATGGGGACTGCAGAGCAGGACCAGCTGGTACAAACCCTGGGGCCACCCAGCTCCTGGACATGCCAAAGCAAATGCAGGATGGTCCCAGCCACATCACTGTCCTGCCTTTGTGTCTCTGCAGTGAATCCACATCCACATACGACTACGAGATCAGCGGCCCCCTGGGACGGGAGAACTACAAGGAGATGTACCTGTTTATCTACAGGTAATGGGGCTGGCAGTGCTGCTGCCACTGCCAGGGCCACCAGCACCATGGAGTGGACACGGGCTGTGTCAAGTCCCAGGGTCACCATCCTTTTGCTCCCACAGGACAGATGTTGTGTCTGTGGTGGACACCTACCAATATAAGGACCCCCAGGATGTCTTCAGCCGGGAGCCATTTATCCTGAGGGTCTCAGCACCCAGCACCAGTAAGTGGGGGAACAAGTGGCCATGGGTTGTGGCATAGGGTGGCCATGGGGCTGACATCCCTCTCCCCTGGCAGAGGTGAAGGAGTTTGTGCTGGTGCCCCTGCACTCGGCCCCACATGATGCTGTCGCCGAGATTGATGCGCTCTATGATGTCTACCTGGCCATCATCAACAAGTGGGGGACTGATGTGAGTGCCACCAGCACTGGGGGGGGGACACTGAGGTTGGACACTGAGCCCCAGGGACTGTTTGACCCACACTGGGACCCTGCTTCGAAGTGAGCACAGCTGGTGCAGGAGCCATGGGGCGGGAACCCTGTTCCTGCCCTGTGACAGGGCGGTCTCTGCCACCCCCATGGGAGGACTGGTGGCAGGAACAGCCCATCACCCACACCATGAACCTCCCATCTCCCCTGCAGAACATGATGTTCCTGGGGGACTTCAATGCTGACTGTTCCTACGTCCAGCCGAGCGACTGGTCATCCATCCGCCTGCGCACCAGCGACATCTTCAAGTGGCTGATCCCCGACAGCGCCGACACCACCGTGGGCAAGTCAGACTGTGCCTATGACAGGTGAGTGCCACCACTGTCCCTTCCCTGGCACCCCAGTGGCCCCCTGCCTGCCCTGCACTGACAGCCAGGGCAGGAGTGGCACCCACCATCCACCCAAATCTCCCCTGCAGGATCGTGGTGTGTGGCAACAAGCTGAAGAGAAGCATCGTGTCCAACTCAGCTGGTATCTTCAATTTTCAGCGTGCTTTCCAGTTGGACCAGGAGGAGGTGAGCCCAGGATCACACACTGGGGGCTCTAGCAGGCATCAAAGCTGAGCTGGCCCAGGCTGCAGGGCTGTCCTTGTCTCTTCAAGGGGTTCAGGGTGACAAGAGACCCAAGGGTGGAACCCGGGGATTTGGGGTCACAGCCTGTCCCCGTTGGGAAGAGAAGAGATGCACAGGGTTTTTTATGGTCTTCCATGGGCAGGACTCAAGGTATGGGGTAACCCAAGCCAACCTTCAACCACCCATGACTGGCACAGAGCCCCCAGATGAGACATGGGAGCTTGGAGGGCAGGTGGCCATGCCTGCCCCAAGCCACACCTGGGCACCTCTCCATGAGAGGTGCCAAAACTCCCGTTTTAGCCTTGTGTGTTGAGTGTCTTGGGGCTGGGGACAGTGTTCCCCCTCCAGCAGGCAACAGGTTCTGGCAGGGCAATTAACAGCAAGGGGTGAGTGGCTCACTGAGCATCTCCTAACTCTTGCCCTTTTCCAGGCCCTGGCAGTCAGTGACCACTACCCTGTCGAGGTGAAGCTGGCGGCCTGAGCTCCTCCTGCAGCCACAGAGCAGGATCCAGCTCCAGCTCCCACCACCAATCCCCATGAAGGTGTTCCACTCAGCCCCATCCACAAGTCCTGTGCATGGGCTGCCCTAGATCCTGGTCTGGAGAAAGATGGAAGCTGGCTGTGCCCAGACCCCCCAGCCCACCATGAACCAGAGCCTGAGGACAGGCCACCAACCAGGACACTGTGACCACAGACAAGCCATGGAACAAAGCATCCATCTCCTACCTCATTGAAGATTTATTGACAAACCTAATTTCATGATTAACTGTTGCACAGGAGGGAAGACATCCAAGGACCGTCAGGCTCGGGCCACAGCATATTGAGACCCTGTCCCTGTCCATTCCTCAGGGGGCTGAGTGGGCTCTCCCTGCCCTTGGGGAAGGCAGCAGTGGTGTCAGGCACTCTAGAGGCACAAAGGGAAGGGGCAGCTGGGGCGGCCGTGGGAGCAGGTGGCACGTCACCGATTGCTGGCACTGCAGGTGGCTTCGCTGTGACACCAACAGCTACTGCAGTGTTTCAGAGGGTGACTCGACCTCCCAGGGACCAGCTGGATCCTCAGCTCTTCCTCTTCTTCAGCATCTCCATGTACATGCGAAGGGACTTCTGGATGGACTCTTTTGAGACGAAGGTGATGAAGTTCTTGATGTCCTCCTCCCGGTGAGCTACCAGGCGGTCCAACACCGCCTTCCTCATCATGGTCTTGGTGAGCTGGCGGGCATGGTCTGCAGAGAGGACAGCAAGGGTGAGGAACAAGCCTTGTCCTCACCCCTGACCAGTACTCAATGCCACCACATGCAGCTCTAATGGGGAGGGATCACACAGCAAAGTGCTCTTGAAAGCAGCAGGGAAAGGGGTAAGACAAACCCACCAGCTGGGAGCTGAACTGGACAAATTCTCATACAATAAATAATGGTTGTACTGCTCAGTGGGGAAATGACTAATCTACTGGCAAAGACAACAAGAAATTGTGTATCTCCTTCTCTTGGTGCCCTCCACAGCCCAATATCCACCTCCAATACACAGCAGTAGCCAAACAAAATTCTTTCTTATTGGAAACTGCTGTGGCTCTAAGCTTCCCTGAACCAGTGCCTTCAGTCCCTGCTCACTCAGTCTGCTCCTGCCAACAATGCTGTACAAAAGGCAGCAGCACCTCCCTTGAGCTCGTCCCTGGGCCTGTGCCATTCCACATGGAAATGTGGATACTGCTGGAGCTGACTGAGGCCTGGAGCACACATCTGCTTACACCCTCACAGAGCCAGGTGCAGTGATGGGGCAGCACATCTGCTGCACAGATGGTTATTCAGGCACTTAGAGACAATGAAATGAGGAGTGACCCCCACATCCACACATTGGGAACCCTGAATTGCTCCAGCAATTCCAGGTGCTGAAGCTATCTCCACCCAGACACAGCTCTGATTTAGGGGAAGAATCTGCAGGAGACCTCCTGGAAATCAGGAGAAGGCACACCTGAGACATGCTACTCAGTCTGGGGAGTGAGGTGTCACTCTAACACCAGGACAGCAGGGAGGAGAAGTGGCACGGGCTGGGACAGCTCAGACCTGTGAAGAGCCCTCTCCCAGCCCAGGAACCTTGTGCTGCAGTCACAGTCCAAACACACGATGCCTGTGCTGTCTGCCTGCCCTCATCCACGCCCCCATCACTGCCATCCAGAGTGCCAAGAGTTAGTTCAGATCACAAAAGCAGCCTGGCAGCCACCCAGGAACTTTCACCCAGCCTGTTCACTCAGCTCCATGGCAGCTTTCCTGGGCTAACACCTCCACTGACAGAGAGAGATTGTGTCTGTCTGTGGAGCTCAGACACCTCCAGACTGACTCAGCAGGGCTAGCAGGATGAGCTGAGCTGGAGCCACGTGCTCTGAACGTTAGCACAGTGTCCCTCTCCGTTAGCCCAAGGCTGCCGAGACCGCTGGGCTGACCTTTCCAACCTCCCAGCCCACCAAACTTCCCCTTTTAATGGAAACTGTTACATAGCTCCCAGGCACCAGCCCTGGCATCTGCACTTCCTACTCAGACCAGGTCCCCTCCTCTTCTGCTAGAGGTTTACCAGGAAGGGCCAGCCACTGTGCCATGACAGCTGCAGCCTTCTCCATGAGCTTCTCCTCTGGCACCAGCTCGTCCACGAGGCCCAACCTCTGCGCCTCAGGTGCAGGGTGGAGGGAGCCCAGCTGGAGGGAGCGTTCGGCAATTCGGTGTCCCACAACATTCACAAATGTGTCCTTAAACCTGCAAGAGATGGGAGGGAAAGCCACACTCAGGGGCAGCTCACCCAGACATCAAGAGCTGACAGCATCCTGGTCCCACTCCCCAGGCTCGGGGCTCTGAGAGTATCCTGGTCTCACTGCTCAGGTTTGGTGCTCTGAACAGCAGCTGTGGGCTCAGTCATGATGTGAAAATGGTGTGAGAAGAGCCATTTTTGGTAGTACCCCAAGAGAGTTCCCTCTCCTCTGCATGAAAGCTGCTCCTTTTACTCTCACTGCCTGTGGGTACCCCCTTGCTGTGACTGAAAACTCCTTCCCAACAGTACATTCATATGTTCCTAGGGCAAACAAGGGGCCCTTGGTGTGTCAGGATCTTAGTGCCCCTGTGCTTTTAAGGGATTCTGCAGGTACACAGTGTGTACACAGAGAAAAGCCCTGACTGAGCCTGACCCATGAGATCTCCCAGCACTAGTTCTGGAGTTAATTGCAGGGCCAGAAATAAGCTCCTTGTTGGTGCAGGATGTGAGGACATTCTGCAGCCTGAAAGCTTTTCAGATACCTGCAGGACAGGACAGAAATGAGGTGCCATCTCCTGCAGCTACAGCTGCAAATAACTGATCTCTGACACACAAACCACACTGCCATGACCAGTTGAACTGATTAATTAACTCCTTAAAGATTAATTCTTTCTAGAGACCTACACATGATACTAGAAGTGGGAGGCACTGGCCTACCAGAAGGGAGCCACAATGCCCAGCTGGGCTTCGTTCAGGCCGATGCTGAATTTGGGGTTTTCTGCCATGATCCTGTAGTCACACGACAGGGCAATGAGGCAGCCCCCAGCCGGGCTGGACCCCTGGCAGAGAGAAGGACAGAGTGAGTCCAGGACATGGTTACAAACACCCCCCAGCCTTGCTGATCACTCCAGAGCACGGAAGATACCAGGAAGACAGAGCAGATGATCCCCAAATTTCTGATCACCTGATTCGAAACAGCCCTAAAGATTTCTGAAGTTTATAAGGGTTTCATAGAAGGGTTGGAAGGCACCTTAAAGCCCATTTCATTCCAAGCTCCCTACTACCGGCAGGGACACCTTCCACTAGATCAGGTTGCTCAGAGTTCCATCCAGCCTGGCCTTGGACACTTCCAGGGATGGAGCAGCCACAGCTTCTCTGGGCAACGTGTTCTAGGGCCTCACCCCCCTCACAGGGAAGATTTCCCTTCCATTTGTGACCATCTTTTCCACGGTTCAGTGTTGCTCAGCCCTGCACAGGATGCCTGAGAGAAAACCCAAGTGCCTTCAATGGGGGGCTGTGGACAGACACCACCGTGAGCTGCCAGGGCAGCACCGCCCTGGAAAACGAAAACAAGACACCAGAAATGTAATGACCCATCCATGGACACGGAGACTCCAGCAACACTTCCCTGCTGGCCAAGAATCCCAGCTGGAGGAGCAAAACCTGCTGGAAATGCTGAAATGCTGCTGTAACCCAACAGTGTCTGCAGCTTACATAGAGCCTGCAGCATCCCACGCTTCCATAGCTTCCCACGCCCCACAGAACTGACAGACATGAATTTCGCCCAAACACCCCAACAGATAGATCCCTGGATGAATTTCAGCCTGGCTTTTCAGCTGTCCCTACTCACACAGTCCAAAGAAGCTGCAGCAGGTGACAATCCCACCCTAAGGAAGGCAGGCCCAAAGGACTTACATTGACTGCAGCCACTGTCACCATGTTGGAGCCGTAGAGCCGGAGCCACATCTCCTGCACAGCTCTCCAGAACTCGCCGTAGTGCTCCACGCTCTTCCCACACATCTCGGTGATGTCCAGGCCAGATGAGAATATTTTGGGAACAGCCTGGAATTGGGAAAAGACAGATGTCACTGAGAATCATGGGGAAGGAAGGGCCCTTCAGCTCTCGGCCCGGCAGCCTGAGGGAAGGGAAAGTGATGAATATGTGATATAAATCAGGGCTTTTTGGGGTTCTGAAAATATTTCCCCAGTGCACCCACAGTCTGGATTATCCCACTACCATGGCCTGAAGTGCTGGGCCTCAGCTTGCAACACAATTTCTCATTGTCAGGGTGCCTGTGTGAGAACATCAGCCACACAGCACAAAAACCTGTCCTGTCCCACTCCCAAGCACCACTTTGTCCCCACAGCACATCTGAAAATAAGCACTGGCATCTCCCACCAGTTCCCTGTGGGTGAGCCAGGAAATATCACAGGATGTGTCAGGTTGGCAGATAAGCGGATTTGATTTTCATGAGAGAAATAACACTTTGTTGTCCTTCTGCTAGAAAAGGGAACAGAAGAAAGATCATGGCCCTTCCAAGAGCCCCCTGCCCTCCTCCCAGAGCCAATCCAAGGTGCCTGGGGGCCCTCCTGTGCCAGTGAGCAGTGACCCCATCAGGGTAAACACTTACAGAGGTGATGATCACACCCCGGCAGGCTCGGTTGTTCTCCAGCTTTTCCAGGCCTATGGAAAACTCTGTGAGGAACTCCAGGCTGAGGCTGTTGACTGGGGGACTCTTGAACTTCATCACGGCAACGCCTGTGCAGGGCAAACACAGGGACATCAGACTCCACCCCACAGCAGCTCACACTGCCCTACCCAGGGCAGCTTCACCCACCTCCCTGTTTCCCTCACCAAGCTGTCTTCCCACTCCAAATCAACTGCACTCCTGGATATTTAAAAGCTTCCAGAGCAGCAGAGCCAAGGGCAAGGTCCTGTCTTGGCCCAGATCCACCCACGAGCCAGGGTCACTCAGCAAGTGGTGGACCTGAAGCACGGACCAGGCCATGTGTGGTGGCACCCCACGTGTCCCAAAGCCCAGCCATCCTCCTGGTCACAGTGCCCAGCAATTCCCTTCTTTCTGGGCTCAATGGGGAAGGTTGAGCATGAAGCTTCTGTCACAGCAAACGGCCTGTATCCAGGGGGTCACAAAGGGGCTCTGAGCCCTTGTCCCTGCCCAAACTGCACTACCCTACCCAAAAGGTGCTCCCTGAGTGCTTAGCCTGGGTGCTGCAGCCATGCTCAGCTGGGAACAGCATAAGGACACAGCCAAGCACCTGAAAGCAGGACCTGGGAAGCCACAAAAAGATGCACCTTTGTTCAGTGCAGGGACATGGCCCTGTGACAGCTATTCCTGGTAGCCAGATCACAGAAATTCCCAGCAGCTTTTCCCTGATGGAGCACTGCCACTCTAGCAGGTGCCCAAACCAGGAACTCCCAGAGAGGGGACAATGCACAGGCAGAGGACAATGACAGCCAGGATCTGCCTGTAGCACCAACCACCTGAAGTGCCCACAACTGGTGAGATTCCCAGCCCCAAACACTTCTCCCCGAGGCTCCTAAGCAGCTGCAACATCTGGGGCTTTGATGACTTCCCATGCCCAGAGCCACAAATGCCATGGGACAGGGATGGAAGGAACCCTCCCTGTGCCCCACAATGCCCGTGGGTTGAGGGTGACAGCGCAAAGGT